AAAAGGGAGGCAGGAGCTAGAGAGGACCAACATGGTGAGTCTCTTGTCCCTGGAGATGATGCTTCCTCTGGGGTTACAGCTGAGGCTGACTCTCCAAGAGGGAAACCACTGTGGTCCAGAGATGCTGTACTTGGAGTAAACCATTCTTATGACCTTTTGCAGATTCGACTAAATTTTTTTTTCCCCTGAAAGAGTCAGTTCAGTTCCCCACTCCAGGACTCCTAAGAAAGCTTTCTGAACAATTTGAAGGCTTGTACCCAACACTCTGTATATGCCAATATCACACACAGCCCGCTCTCTTTCCCACCACAGGCTTGAATCCCGGTAAGGACACCCACCTGCCAGAGAGTTCAAGTTCACACAGAGAGAGTTTTCAGTTATCTGCTGAGGGGAAAATAAGGCCTGAGGTGTTTCCTTGATCTCCCTCCTTCCCCAGAGTGTGCCCTAACAGGTGGCCATGTCCCTTCTCATCCCTCCGCAGACTCATTAATTTCAAAAGCAGCCGCAGAGGCAAGGAACTATTTCCCAATTCTTTTCATGAAGAGGTAAAAGAAAATAACCAGCCCAGGAGACCACATACAAAACTCCTAATGGAAAGTAGAAAGCGAAAGAGACGAGAGGAGACCAGGCCCGCTTTGCAGCTGCGGTTATCGGCAGCCTCTCGGGGAGGAACTGAAAACCTGTTTGCCAGGTCTCCGGTGTGGGCACACAGCACAGTTCAAGATGGGACGGGGAAACCTATTTGAAGAGTCTACTTTCCCACCCCGGGTCCTGATTTGAAGAAGCAGAAGTACTGACGGCCCACTCCTCATCGAAGCTGACTCGGTTCTGACCACTCAGAGGCACAAACTTGTCAATACCAAAGAGCCATACACGCCAATTCACAGGAACCTGAGAACCTCAGTTTTTGAAAATACATGCAGTTTGAAAATCAGTACCTCCATCCACTTCCTGAGTGGCCAAGCTCTGGCTTCCTGAGGTAGTTCCAGGCCTGCGAAGTCCTAGGAAAAAAACTCCAGAAAGAGAAAGCCAGGCCAAACAAGGCCCCGAAACTCCCTAGCTCTTCCAAAGACATGTGTCTTGACTCCACGTGGGAAAAGGTTCTATTAACCCAGCCCTCCCATCACCGCCTGGAGGCAAGTGCCTGGTCTGGGCACCCGGGGAGGCCGCTGGGGACAGTGCCAAACCCACAGTTCCTGTGCGCATCACACAACTCTAGGGGAGTGTTGCAATTCTAACCCTTTATAGTCAATTGAGGAGGAAGAGAATGCAGTTGGGAGAGAAAGCTAAAGAGGGGTGCAGAGCTGCGGACACTGAACAGATGGGCTTCTAATGAAAATACTTAAGCTTTCTGATGCACAAGTGACCCAAAGCCGCCGCAAGTCTGCATGTCTACTGCAAATTATAAGATGTTTAACAGATCATAGTATTAAGGATCCGTCAATAAACCCCTGATTAAAAAAGTATATTTATACCAAGTCACCAATATCTGATTACATTTGCCCTAAAATAAAGACACAGATTGTTCTCTCATTTTTCTTGGCTGCAGATCTCTTATCCCTCTAACCAAAATCCAAGGAATGCAAACAACTGCCAGGATCGTGTCCCCAAAGCAGTCCTCATTCACTTCGCTCTCTTTCTCTTTCGGCATCAAAGCTTGCCATAAATGTTTAATTACATGGAAGCTGCCTTTCCACTGCAAATGACTGGCGCTGTGAAAGGCTTTTCATTTTTTAAGAGAGGCGGAATGCGTGTGTGTAAAACGGTCCCTATTAATTTCCTGATATTGACTCTCTGGCTGGGGACGAGCATGGAGTGCTCAGCAGAGAGCGTCTCTGCAGAATGTTAAAGGCAGGGCTTGGACTGAGAAAGGGTACCAAATGCAGTATGCGTCAAACAGACCATCGCTCAATGAAGTCACTTAGCTATTCAAAACATGTTCAGCCATCACTCAACCGTTTGCACCAAGAACACTGGGAGGGGGCATGTGATGTGAGCTCATTCCCAGGCTGGTGTTTGGCTCAGTATGGGTTAGGTCCCCAGGACCGCGTTAGTTTTACCCTCTCCCCCATTTGCTGGCCCCAACTCCCTGCAGCACCATCCCACGTTGAGCTTAACAAACAACCCTGCAGTGCTCACTTCCCGATGCTGCCTCCAAGGGCCTCCAGTCTTGATCCACATCAGTGGAACACACACGCGAGCCTCCTTCCACACAGGGGCATATGTGTCTCTCTGCTTGTCTTCCTATAGGTGGCTTGTGCACGCAGACAGATATAGCTATGCAAATGCATTCCTTCATATTAAAGTCTGTGGCTAAATTCAGCTTGTATGACCCGCAGAGTTTCCCTCCCTCCTCTTGTGTTTATTAATGTGTCCCAGAAGCACATGCCTCCTCCCTCATGCCCTAGACTCCCAGCCTTTACACCATGGGAGCCCCTTGGTCCATGGCACATGCAGCACACATGCCCCAATGACTCTGCAAGATCAAGGCCAACAGCTGGCACCCCCACCCCACGCTTTCCCATTCCCTCTCAACCTCTCCATGCCCTCGCCTCCTGCCTGCACAGTGCTGACTCGACTTGCTTTCGGATGACAGACATGTCACTCTGTGTGGAAGCAAATCGGCGCTCAGCCTAACCCGCAAGTGACCGCTGTTTATTAGAACTTGGGCTTGTTTCCTGGGAGAGACGCATGCATTTATAGACTTCGTAAATGTTAAACACACACATACACACAGAGCCAGCCACCTCGAATGATACGTGGGACTCATAGACATTACGAAATGCTCTTGAACTCGGTTTGAGCTCCTGGAATAATTAGAACCTACCAAATCAAGATTCTTAGAAACAACTAATTTCTTTTCAAAAAAAAAAAAAGATTTGCAGTTGGTGATGGGTCTGTAACTTTTGAGGAGTGAGGGGAAGAGGAAGAGCCTTTCCCAAATTCTTAATCGCAAAAAGCCAAGCCGCTCGCAGGGAAGGAATTGTTTTCCCTCCTCATAGGTGGCAAAGCTAGACTCAAAGGCAAACCTTAATGACTCCAAAGCAGCCGGAGCACATCTGACTCCACAGACAATCTCGTGTTTTCACCGTAGCATAGATCATTCCAACGAGGAGGTTTGGGAGGATGGGGGGGGGGGGAGCCAAAGAGTAGAGAGTGTGGGTTTTGCTTATTGATTTTCTTTCCTCTGAAACTAACCCAGCCAACCTTGATCTGCAGCGGCAGCGGCGGAGGGAGTGAAATGGGAAAATGGTGGAACGTGGAGGGGACTTATTTGGAGTCGGGTGGGGAGGGGGAGTGCGGAGGGGAGGGGCGGCGCGGAAAGGGGGAGGAGGTAAGAAATCAAATACCTTCGAGGCAGCAGGTCCTCCATAATCCGGAATGGGTCATAACTTCCTCGTTCTTTTTGCTGGTTTCATTCTCACTGACACTTTTGGTCTTGCAAACCCCTCTGGAGTACAGCCAATAGTCGGTTCCCACAGCGATGGTCATCAAGCTGAAGGCAGCGAAAGCACCAACGGTGGTTAAAAGCATTTGAACACCTCGATCAAACAGCCCCATAATTCTTCATTATATAAACACCCAACCGATTTCTGGTTCTCAGGAGCGTGTGTGTGAGGGTGCGAATGGTAATTCCACTACTAATATAATGGATATATGTGTGAATAGAGAATATGGAGAGATATAAAAAAAGGGAGATAAGAAAGCTCACGGAAAAGTGTGTAAATTATAAAGATCACACGGGAAGAGAGGCTTGCCTTTTGAGATCAAAAAACTGTTCCAGTTGCAGCGATATTTTTTTTAAAAAAGGAAAATAAATAAAAAGACACCCCCCACCCCCCCAAGTGAGATGCCTTAATCTCTTTTCCTAAAATTCTGGTCTCCAGTTTCCATATGTGATCGCTAATTTGGAGATGGCTTCCACAGCGCGCCAGGAAACAGTCGAATTCTCAACACCATCTCTCATGGTCCGGACCTAGACAGTTAGAGACTGGGAGAGCCGGGAAGCAACCTTCGGTCTTCGTTCGCGGCTCTGCGGCCTGCGCCATGAAAATCCGTGGCTTCGCCAGTTCTCTTCCTTGGGGAGGGAGGGGGTTCTCGGGGTGCCTCCGTTTCAGAGGAGACTGCCCAGTCTTCTGCAAGCCCTCGAGCTCAGCTGCACCGGTGCAGGGGTCTCGCCTCCCATGGTTGTGCCCCGGCGGCAGCGGCGGCGGCGGCGGCGGCGGCAGCAGGGCTGGCGGGCGCGGCGGCGGCGGCGGCAGGACGAGCAGCCGCGGTTATTGTTGTTGGCGGCTGGGGTAGTGTCGGCGAAGTGGGGGAGGGAGGGGGTTTCTCCCGGAGAATCGAGGCGGGGTTCCCTCCCCCGATCCGCAAAGCTCCTTGGAAGCCAGCGAGTGAGCGAGCGATGGGGCGCGCGAGCCGGCGTCTTGCAGCAGGCAGGCCCGCCCGCCTCCCCCGCTCGCCGCCGCGCAGCCCCGGGCCAGGCGCTCCTAGCTACAGCATCGCAGAGCTGCTGAAACGGACAGCTCTCCCCGGCCGGGCGCTCCCACCTACTGCATCGCCGTGGTGCTGAACTGGACAGCTCCCCGCGACCGGGCGCTCTCACCTACAGCATCTCCGCGGTGCTGGACTGGACAGCTCTCAGAGCAGGAGCGCCCACCTACTGCGTCGCCGTGGTGCTGAACTGGACAGCTCCCCACTCTGTGCGCTCCCTGAGCTCTGTAGCCCGCCAGGAGTGGGGCCTGGGCCAAGGGGCCTCTGTCCTCCAGGGACGGGCCAGGCCAGGGCTGAGCGCAGGGCTGCCTGGCCTCCCCCGACTCCTGTTCCACAGTTCCGGAATGAGCGCTGGCCGGGGCCTCCTGGAGCTGAGAGGAAGGCGTAGCTGGCGATCTCTCTCTCTCTCTCTCTCTCTCTCTCTCTCTCTCTCTCTCTCTCTCTCTCTCCCTCTCTCTTGCTCTCTCTCCCTTTCTCTCCTCTTCCCTCCCCCCCCCCTCGGTGTTTCTTCCAGATCAGCTTCCTTCTCATTCCATCTCTATGTGCCCAGAGCTTCAAATACAGCCCTTCCAGTCAGACTGCCACAAAACTTCAATCAGCTGCTTTTCCGCCTGGAAGAGATGGACATACAACCTAGATGGGTAATTACAAACATAATCTCTATGTTCTTTTTTCCCTCCAATCAGGGGTTGCACAATGCTTTTTGGGAAGGGGAGGTTGTTTTATTTTATTGGTTGGATAGATATATCTCTTTCCTCATTCCCTTCTTGATCTCTGTGTCTTCCTGGCTAACGGGGGTGTGCATAACTCTATCTGTTACTCTGTAGTTTTCCGTGAAATTCTACATCTTACTTCTACAAGTAGACATTTTGGAAAGATTATTTATGTGAAAGAACGAGGGAAGGGTGACTGGTAACTGGGGCTCGGGCCATGATTCTCATCCCAAGGATAAAAATGTTTTCAGGAGATGTAAGTGAGTGTGGATCTTTCCAAGTCTCCCCCCGCCCGCCATTCATAAATGAGATTAAAGAGATGTTTTAAAATCATTTCTGCTATGAACAGGGAAAGACAGAAGCCTCCTCTTGCTCACCAGAACTGTGAGCTTGGGTTAATTCCTGTGCCACCTCTCCACCAGACTGTGTGTGCAACTTTTAATGCAACCCTGGAAATCGAAGCACTTCAGCAATGCTTCCAGCTGAGGATGACATGTTTTCTCTGACCAGTTTTGTGACTAAGTAAAAGGAGAACATATAAGGCAGGCTCGAGGGTGTGTCTTTCCTTTGGGGGAGGGACTAGAGAAAGCTGTTTCTCGAATGAGTCAGTTGAAGGGCGTAGAGAGACGCTTTGATTTCACAATTTGCTAATGCCACCCCTCCCCATTTCCTATTGAGATGATTTGCTCGATAATTTATCAGTGATCCAGAAATTAGGGGTGTACACAGGGGAGGGTTGAAGTTGAAATAGTTTCTTAAGGTGTGAAGCCCACTGCCTAACTTCTTCCTTGCACCTTCCAAGTCACAGGTAGAAACTGTCTGCTTTGCTGCCCTGCATAAAACTTCCTTTTTCTCCCAGTCTCTGCTCCCTTTTAGACCAGAAGGACCCTTCTGAGGACTGATAGCTGTCTTTCTGTTTTGGGGCAAGGGTCTTGGCATCTGGAGAACAGGACTCAGAGCTCTGAAACTGTACTAAGGGTTTTAGTGGAAGCTGAAGCTGGCTTTCAGGGGAAGAGTTCTCAGGGCTTCGTTTCCTGTCCTAGGAGGATAAGATTAGCAGTGGGAAAGAGGGAGGGATGGTCTGCTCATCCCAGGGGCAGTTCAGTCGTGGCTTGTGTAGATGTTTTTCTTGGGCTGCTATCCTTATACTTCTTGGTTGTGAGCCTAACCTTTAATGGCTGAGCCATCCTCCAGCCCCACTGGTCTGTTATCCTTAAGAAAAATGTGAAACACAGGTGTCAAGGCTCCTGAGATCACCTACGTCTTTTGAGGAGAGCAGCTGGGGAGAGATGCTTGGGTGTCCTTATATGTGTTTGAGAAGTTTCCCTTCATTGGTGCCTGTAACCTTGACTGCCTTTGACCTGCCCATGCATGGGGGGGGGAACAAAACACTAATCCATTGCCCTCTTCATCATCAACCCCTGAGTTCCTGCTCAAAAGGTACCCACAGCAGAAGCTCTGAAGCCTGTTTGCCTGCAGACTGCTAACCTCAGAACTGCTGACAGTGGTTGTAACATTCACAGCATTTGATTCATCTTCTGGCCCGATCGTCACCAGGAAAACAACAGGGGTGGAGAGGGGGAAGGGAAGCAGTCTTCACAGCCAGCATGGAGATAGCAGAGACTGCTGCAGCCAGAATGGGTCTGGGTACACAGCTTCACTGAGACTTGGGCATTTGTCATATTCTGTCCAAGTTGGCTTCCTGAGGATGTAGTTTCAGTGTCTGGAAAATGGGTATCTTGGTACCCATCCACTCTTTTCAGAAGCGTCCCAGCTATTCTCTACTTTTTGCTACTTGCCATATCGCTATGACTTTGGTCACACTGATCATACTTAACTGTGCTGTGACCTCTCATGGCCTCATAAGCTCTTGAGTCGTGGATCACAGTTAAGGCTTCAGAATCCAAGGAAGTTCTAGATCCATAGCAGACACTTGGTGAAGGATGCCCAAGCAGCTACAGTGTGGACTTCCTATGGCAGAAGAGAGGCGGACAGCCTGGTACAGATGCTTCTCGTTTCTCTGCCCCATTTTACACCCAAAGCGCTCTGTCTTCATCTTCTGCATCCTTCTTGTCTCACAGCCTCCCTGCCTTTACAAATGAGGTATATGCCATAGGGTCCTTCTGTAGGCCAGGAAAGGCCACCTGGGAGAGCTGGCCCTGCTCAGGCCCTATTTGCTGCTTGGGACGCACCAGGTACCTGCACTTAGTGGCCGCTGAGTGGATGTCTAGGGAGCAGCTTTGTGTGCCTGCAGTTTGTTACTTGGGAAGGGCTTAGAGGAAATTAGCTGAAATGCCACGGGCCTATTTTGAGCTGCCTCTTTGATGGAGTGGAAACAACATGGGATTTGGGCACAGCAGACCTGGCCTTGAAGTGCAAAGCTGCTGTTTCCTCGCTGTTTGACCTTGGACAGTTACTTAATCTCCCTGGAAACTTGTGTTTTCATTGATCAAGAACTGGGGGCACAAGCCTTATGCCATGGTCACCAGAGTTATATGTTAACAGCTATGACAAAGGCTGGCATTTATTGGATACTGACCCATGCTGAATCCCACAAACCTCCTAGGAAGGGGCATCACCTCACTCCAATTTACAGGTGTGGAAACAGAGCTGCCCAAGGATGCAAGTATCTAGTATCATTTTTTCAGACTCAGGGCACAACAGACCCTGGAGTCTAGTCCATCTCTGAGCGTTCTGAGGAAGGGCCTTGAATCAGGACTGTCTGCTTCTCAGCTGCAGTTTACAGAGAAACTTCTGGGTGCCCAGTGTGTTCACAATGATACCACACTCAGGTCAAGTAATTCTCAACTATGTGCTAAGAGCCTTTCCTTTAGGTGAGGTCACATCCCAAGCCCAAGGTCATATGTCAAGTAAGTGGGTCAGCAGAGATGCAGACACTTTGAAATGATTGACTGCCACTAACAAGTCCAAAGCTGATTCATTCGGTTTTTTGTTGTTTGTTTGATTTTGTTTTTTTGAGACAGGGTTTCTCTGTAGCTTTGGAACCTGTCCTGAAACTGTCTCATAGACCAGGCTGGCAACGAACTCACAGAGATCTGCCTGCCTCTGCCTCCCGAGTGCCGGGATTACGCTGCCCGGTTTATTTGTTGTTTTATCTGAACTCAAGCATCTACTGTGTGTTAGCGACTGTGCTGACTCCGGGCAAGTGGGGCAGTCTCTGCAAAGGTAAAGGGAAGGAGTCAGGCATAGCAGCCATGCTTGTGACCCCAGCACTCGGGAGGCAGAGGCAGGAGGATCATGGTGATTTTGAAGCCAGCTAGAGTTAGATAGTGAGCATGACAGAGAGACAGACAGGCAGGGAGGCACGTGTGCATGCTTGTGCGCGCGCGCGCGCGCACACACACACACACACACACACACACACACAGAGAGAGAGAGAGAGAGAGAGAGAGAGAGAGAGAGAGAGAGAGAGAGACAGAGAGAGAGAGACAGAGAGAGCAGGGTCAGAAGTAGTTAGGGCAAGATGGGAGTGTGTGGGGAACTGAGAAGAGAGAAGATTCCAGGCTGGGGAAATGGTTTGGATGTGTGAGAAGGGATGACTGGACAGTTACAAGGAAACAAAACAATGATAATGTATGGCTGATGCTGACACAATAATGGGACTTGGAGAAGAGGTCAGTGAAGAAGAAATAAAGGCACCAACCAAGCCTGGGGCAAGGGATAGCAAGGATAAGGTGGTTGGTCCCCATGCTGGTGATGAGGCAATCTGGGCCAGCATAGGGGAACTCTGGATGGGAGTGTGGTGGTCAGGAGCATCCGGGGAGAGTCAGGTGAGCACAGGGACCCACACTGAGGTGGGCGAGCATGAGGAAGGAGCAAGTATACATGGGTGTGGGGAGTGGAAAGATGAGACCTCTGCCTCTGTCACGGAGCTGGTTGCCATGTTCTGAGACCTCTCCACTCCACGCTCTCATTTTCTCTCTTCTCTGCATGCTAATTAATTAATTAGGGATGCAAATCATTCATTTGATTCCATTCTATTCCCAGCAGAACACAAATCTCATGAAGGCAGAGATTTTTATCCACTGGGTTCATGCTATATTTCCAACCCATAGAACACAGTCTAGCACATAGTAGGTATACACTAAAAGGGAATTCTTTCGCTGATGTAAAAATCCAGTGTGTGCTGTCTCTGGGTTCCACAATATGCTGAGGGGCTAGGGATAATGCAGAGATAAAGAACAAATCAAAGAACTTGACAAGTGACCTGGTAATCCAGGACACTGTGTTTGCCCGGAACAGTCATCGGACATGCTGTGTTTTCCTACTGTGGGCATATTCTTGTGGCACTCAATTTTGTACCTGGAATTCCAAGATTGCCTGGCACATGTTAGGTCTGCAATATGGGTTTGATGAGTGAATGAACAAAAGACAGACATTGCAAGCCCAGGGAGCAAGCATTTAGTTTTATCCTAACAGGGCTCAGAAGGCTTCTTGGTGACCAGAAGGCCAGAAGAAAATGTTCTAAGTGGTCAAGGGTGGGGAGGGGGAATCTTCAAGCAAGGCAATATGAGCAGACATCACAGAGGACAAACCAGTAGAAAGTGAGGTGCCCTTTGTTACAGGTACCCACTGGATTTATTGTTCTTGCTCGGGAAGAAGCTGGGAGGTGGGGCACAAGAGGTTGTGGAGCCAACTGCATCTGGCCTGGAATCCAGCTCTGCTATTTGCTGTGTGGCCCCATGCAGGGATTTAACCTTTCTGGGCTCAGCCTCATCTGTGAGGATGGGAATCGTGCCACCCCATCCTTTGTTCTTGCCATTTCCTCCTGAATGTGCAGTTCAGGGCTTGGCGTTGCTCACTCTCACCTCCAGGAAGGTGTGATCACTCACATACACAAGTGGCCACAGATAAAGAGGCCTGTTTTGTCTCCACTGCCATGAGGTTTTGCAGCCTGACACATTCTC